TTTCTTTCTTATCTTCCGAATATAACTATAAGCGTTACAAATAGCGATGTTTGTAAATGAAGATCACAAGAGGAAAACTTGATAAGTACGTTTTCGTTGATCTTTTTAATTTTAACTTCATTCTATAAATGAAAAGAAGAATTTGAAGATGATATAGGTAATTGCAAATGATGAAGACAATTAGAGTCAAAGTTTTTTTCAAACTAGTTGAGAAAATTTTGAAATCGATAAACATGTTTAGCCCCCAAAACTAAATTAAAAAGCTTTCAATTTATGTTACAACTTGCAAAAATATTGGTATTTTTTGGGCAATTTTGTCCACGTGTTGTTATCGACGGAGTGAAAATTATCTTTTGGAGCGATGGCCGAGGAACTTTGATGTCATCCATGTTCGAATATTGGCTTTCTCATCAATTTCTGAACATGTTCCTTAATAGAGTATCATCATCTACCGTATCATCGCGGAACAATGCCTGTCTTTATGGATAATTCAGTTCATTCTCTACATTTGCATGTAGCTACGAAGCTAATCCATATATTTACGAAAAGCTCATAAAAATCTGGCAGGAACAAAGAATCGAACAACATTCATTTAAAATTAAACATTTACTCAGCATTCGTGTGATGGTTTTCCGTGACTGGGCTTGTTTCGTTTCACCATGAACATATCCCTCAACGTTCTGCGCGAGGCTGTCGCTTTGTATTCGCAATCCTATTCTCACGTAAAGCACCGCGATGAATACCATTGGTATAAGAAAAAAGAGAATGCAGCTAAGTTGATAAAGAGGAAAATCTGGCATGTTTTTCTTCTGCATCGCACAAATAGCCGATTCCTCCGAGTTTCGTGTAGAGTCTGGAAATCCAATTGAAGCGATACTTTCATCGAAAGAAAAATAACTGCTTGATCAAATAAAAAAAAGAAAGAAGAAAAAGAAGTGAACCACACGAAAATTAATAAAACGCGGCCAGAGTCGCGTATATAAAATCCTTTTCCGATATACCCAATTTTCCAAACCATTCGCCGACTATTGACTGTATTTTCGATTTATGGCTTTGTACTTTGAACAAAATGTGTGTCCTAGTATCGTATATATCTGCACTATCGCGAAATTGCATTAATATGAGTTGTAAGTTCGAATGTAAAATTAATATTCTCAACTTTCGAATACTTGCTTCTAAAGAACTTTTAGAGGATTACAAAAAAAAAAAAAAAAACTTCTAGAGCAACTTTGCGAACAATGAATCTGAACCGTAAACGACGCAGAATAACGAATAGTTTCGTAAGAACTTACTTTGTGGATATTCAACGTAATTTATGTCGATATAAGTAGCAAATGGCATAGCAGAAATCAAAGCTATCAACCATGCAGCAAATATAGAACGTATCGAACGCTTCAAACCACTCCCATAATGACGAAGTGGATGATAAATTGCCAAGTATCTTTCTACTGAGAACGCCACGATAGTTAGTACCGATACGTAAGAGGACCTTTAAAAAGAATGTTTTTATAGTTGTTTCTAACATAAATTTTCCTGCATCATCTAACATGATGTTCAAAATATGCTATTCCTTGGCTGATGTTACACCGACTTACGTCTCAGAGACATATGCTCTTAGTTTGCATATACCTAATCCCCATTGCCATGGATATTGTTGCCAAAATACACTCAATTCGAAGGGTAAACCTGAAAATCGATTGAAAAATTTGTGTTTGTACTTCTACTACGATCGTGGAGATCCATCTCTTCTTTTGATTACCGGCAAAGTAAATCTCGTTTTCATTAAATTTATTTTCGTTGAGTTTTATTCCTCGATCGACCTACAACCGAATGTTTGTAACCAAAAATTTCATAACTAAAAGAACAGAACGGTACGGTTTCAATTCCTAACTTAATAACGTGAACGTATATAAAACGAAAGAAGTGCGATAATTTAAATGGAAAATATTTTCCAATCAAATCTTGATATTTTCCCACGGTTTTATCTATAAAGTTATTAGATACTGTGTCAATGGAAAGAAAGGGAAAAAAGAAGAAGACAGAATCAATCTATTTTTGATGCAAACCATTCTATTCAGAGCGATGATAATTCAGCGTCCGGTACAAATGAAATCGTAACACGAAATTCTTTATTATTACGATGATCAAACAATCCACTAGCCGTCACTTTAACCATTTAATACGTAACGATTGTAATTCTGCATAGAATTTCTACTAAATGAAGTTACTAATCGGTTTATATTGTGCATTAGAAAAGGCCTCGGTAAATCAAAGATACCAATAATGAGTCAAAAATTTCGAATAACGTATTTTCGTTAAAATTCTAGTTGTTTATTCTTTCTTATTTCTAACACAATTCCTTATCATTATAGTAAATAACAAATAGTCGATCTTGTTAATTAGATATATCTAAGTACTTATATATGTACTAATACAGAAATTGAATGATACGTCAAATACTTGTTTTAGTTGTATCAGTTTCCATTTCTATCACAAATATACGACATATGAAGATAATCTCTCGTCAATGAATCGTCTGTCTTTACTAGTTCTGAATTAATCGCAACTAATGGATTCAATACGTTATCTACACGTGTCAGTCTGATACGATATTGTACATAAATTGTTTTGATTTTAAATTAATACGTCGATATTAAATTAATAACATAATTTGCAAATAAATTTCCATCTTGTCCGACATGTTTTTTTTCATTCATTCGCTTCGATTCGATTTGTAATTACGTCTGATCGTAATTACGAATCAACATTGATTACTACGACTAAGGTATTTCCAATTAAGTCAAAATATAAAAGAGGAAACAAATAACGCACATCTTCGAACTTACCTAGTATCAAAAGCAGCAAATCGGATACCGCTAAATTGAACAAGTAATAATTCGTTGGAGTCTGCATAGTCGGATTCCTCCATATAACGATACAAGTGATCACATTGCCGATAAATCCGGTCACGAAGATGATAACGTACGTAAGAGTAACAGGCACAACCAACGTTAAAGACAAATACTTAGGCCCGAGTTCTTTTTCCAAGTATTTCGATTCATCGCTGATGCTGTTCTCGTAAAACGACACGTTCATCATTCACGAAACTTAATCACTGGTTTTCTTTTTCTTTTCCTCCTTCAAGTCACACAACAACGTTCATTTTATTTCACTTTGAAAATATTTAACAATTTAATTCCCCATAGAAATCTGCTCGTTACTCTCCGATAAACGATAATTCGTCTGTCGTTCGAATCCCGAGAGTCGAAAATATCACAGAATGTTTATTCTTATTTAGAATGATAATACCGATGCCCCCCTCCCGTGCGAAGGATGATTTTTAAAAGCGCACCATCCGCCAGATCGTGGACAAGTGACGTCTCCCGAGTTCCTCACCTTTCCACCACGCAACCAACCCTCCACTTTCACCCCCGCAAGCCAGTCCACGTCGTAATCCGACCAATAAAATCGCGCGCATTCTCGGCATCAACCATTCAAAATTTTTTCTGCAATTACATCATCGTTCTGATTACGAAGATTTTCCGAACTTCTGCATGCATGTGCGTGTACGCATATTTCACGAGTCGCAGCCGATTGCTTTTCCCGTAGACGCGATTTAGTACTTCCGCAGCGAGGAGTGCAACGTTGAACCAGACTCAACGCCGTGATAAACTTTATAGCTAAACTTTATAACTAAACTAACTTTATAACTAAAAAAGGTAAATGGTTACACGACTTTCATTTAGATTTAACGAGGAATGAAGTTCCATCGGATATTGTTCATTTCGTTTGTCCTTCCGAATATTGTTTCATATATCCGCAAGATTTAGTCGCTCGATCACGCTCCACGTCAGTAGCTACGGCAAATAAAAGTGATTACAACGCTGTCGTTTTGATGTTGTTGTTTGACCTTACGAAAAGAAAATTACCAGTTATGAGTGACCTCGTTAGAAGCTTTAGTGCCATCGTTATTAAAACCCTGTACTTGGAGTTAGGAACGATACTACATCACGTTAAAACGTGCAATTAATGTCGTTCATAAGATGAACGCAACGCAAGTTTGAACGGAACGATGCGTATTTTTCGATATCCATTTAACGTTGGAAATCACTCCTACGACATGAAAGCATAGATTTATTTCGATTCTTATTATACACGTGATCAAGTACAAATGTTTCTCATGTAATTTATTTTCAATAAATCGTAAACATTTCCCTACGTTTAATCGGAAACTTTTCGATCTTACGTCGCGTCTCGAGAATTTCCATTTCATCCTGCAACCTTTTTCCACCTTAATTCCTATGATTCCTCGGTCGTTCGTCTTGCATTCATTTGCACGTTCTTCAGAACAGAAGTGTGACAAAGTACAATGCGAATCAACGTTTGAAGTATGGAATAAACTTTGATACCTTCCTCATTCGATGTCGGTATCGCGGACTAAAAAGTGAATCACATATTTCTTCGATTTGTATGTTTCCCGTAATGAGTGTTGCCTGTTTCTCTGATCGTAGCCAAGACGAGCAATCTCAATTGCTTGTTTCGGAAGGTGTATCTGATGGAAACGGCAGAACAAGAAAGTCTCTTCGTAATCAATTGGCGATGTTGGCGGAGTATACGAGTCGAGGATCAAGATCAACGTGCCAAGAATAAAAATGTAGAGGAGGAACTGAAAAATTGACGACAGTTTGACATTTCTTAATCTTTCTAAAGAAAGTGTTGTTTTAGCTGTTGATAAAAAAAACAAAAAAAAAAAAAA